CCCATCGCACACCCGGGCTGGGCCCATCGATCTGTCGAGTAGGATTAATAGTGGTGCGGGCTGTGGGCCCCCATGACCCTGACCTCACCCTCACTCACCCCCCCCCCAAATCATCATCATCTAATCATCACCTCCTCCCCGGGACGACACCCCCTCGCTACTATTCTGTGATGGACATCTGTTAGGTCCCCCTCCCTCAGCGGTCTGCAATGCGGTCTAGGGCTGAAACGGGGGGGGGGTGGGGGGGGAGATCGATTCTCCTACTGCCCTTAGAAAATGCTAAACAAGCAGTATTGGCAATCCGCTTGGCACCAGGGGGCATCGGATATAATGGAGGCCCATGCCACCCCCGCTCTCCCAAGGGGCTTCGCCGCCACTGCCGCCGTCTATCACAGCATACCACCAGCACCCCCCCCCAGCCCTTTCATTTATATTCAGTTAATATTTCACAACAACCCCCACCACCCGGAATGGGAAGCCACGGCGAAGAGGAGCAAGACGATTAAATTTATGTCTTGCCGCCGCAGCGGACGGAGGACGGGGCTTAAAGAGATGGCCGTATTTCACCGGGGGCGGGGGGAAGGAAGAAGGGTGCGGCAAGAAGGTGAGCTGCAGGGAGGCTAGTCGGCACCCCCCTCCCGTAAAGGGGCACATTTACGGGCCCTCTTCATTACCAGCAACACCACGGCCCTTCACCTGCACCCCCACACCCTATAAATCAAGAACCACCTCCAGCAAGACGAGCAATCGGGCGGCAGACACGGGAATGGGGGACAGCTGGGGATCCCCTTCTGCCTTAAATTGGGGGCAACATGACTCTCGGGCTGATACACCGAAATAAATACATAAACAAACAGACAGATACACAGATGAAATATTTAAACCGGCTACGGAGTTTGGACCACCAGCCAGACAAACAGGAGCATGGCTCAAATATCAGCATCACCAATTACCAGTATGCCCTCCTCCCCCAGTATGCCCCCCCCCCCCCCCAAAGGAGAGAAGCAGATGAAAGAATGCAGTAAGAAGGAAGTGGATGGCAGTGGCGGGAGCAGCAGTAGCAGCAGAGCCGCGGGGCAGGGCCGGGCTACCTTACTGGATTAATGGCCGCTTCCTGTTCCCGGGCTGCCAGGGAGCGGCGAGCGAGACCATCTGCCTATGAAAACAAACACACACAGATCTGCCCCTTAGCCGAGTGGGGGTCTGTGGGGTCACACGCGCCCAGGAGTGCATGTGTGCGCGTGGGGGCATGTTTGATCATAAGGGTTTGTCTGTCGAGGGCGCAAAACCCCATTTGTACAACGTGATGAGTTCTTTGTTTGTCTTTGGAAAAATAATGAAAAATGTATTTAATTTGGGGAGGGGTACACGGCTGTTTAGCACCGCCCTCACATGATGAAAGGAAGCAGGGAGGGACAGCTGGGGGGGGGGGGGGGGCAAATCCTCCAGGATGGTTCTATCTTCAGTCCCCACGACGTGTCAGCCCGTTCCTCCTGACCACTCAGAGCTTACATCTGTGCATTATGTGGCAGTGTGTGTGATCGGGCCCTGAGAAACGCAACCCTGCAGCCTGCCCCTCCCAGATCAGCCCTGCCGTGCCCCCCCACAGCGCTGCCTCACCTGTGGCAGCACCTCCACGACGTCCAGACCGCAGAGACAAAGACGAGTTGCTGTGGACAGCAGCCTGTCACAGTGATAGAGGGTGGCGCACCGACGCAGGAAGATTACAGTCTGCTAAAGTCCGACGCCGTACGAACCACAGGGCAGACATCTGTGAACCCCCCCTAGCCCCCAGGCACAGTAACCCTAACCCTCACCCCACCTGAGCACACTCTCCCAAAATGGAACGCCGCTCAGGCAGACATGGGTGCCTGAATGCCATCCACTAGCATGCAGCAATATCCATCTGGGCACAGCAGGGCCTCCAAACGGCTACGCGTCTTGGGGGGGGGATCAATGGTAAGAATTTGGGATCCTACCTGCTTGTGCATCTCGATGTTGAGCCCATAGGACATCTCATAGTACTAGAAAGACAGAAGAAATTAGTAAATTTACATAAATTACCTTACAAAACAAAGTTTTAAGAACCTTCTCTAAATAAAAGGCACAATTTTCTCATCAAAATGGAGCCTCCCATTTATTAATATCCCATTTAAAGTTAGAGAGCACACATCCTGACAGTAATTATTCAATAAAAAAAATAAAATATTTTAATAAAATGTTGACGTGCACAATAAATGCACTCTCAGCCAGCAGGTGCATGGAGTGTGAGGCCAGTCTCCCTGGCTGCTCTCGCGTCACACGGAATCTGAGCCCCTTTGTCCATCAAACCCAAACGGAAAGCCGGGTCCTGCACTGGACCCCCCCACGCCCATTTTTCACAATTTATACTCTAATGTGATTTGCTCCAGTCAGGCAGACAGGAAGGACAGAGACGGGAAATAAACCGAAGAAACAAAGCAACGCCTGTAGGTTGGAGACAGTACCACGTCTCTCCGAACTTGGGGCCCAGCCCCCCAGGATGGGGGAAGCGGTGGAGATATGACAGCCCTCCCCCCACAAGCCGAGGGGCCGTCCATCTCCAGGCGCAAACTCACCATGACGTAGTGTCTCTGCATCTCCGTCTTCTCGCTGGCCAGTTTTTCACACTCCAGCTTCAGGCTACACGGCGAAGACGCAGAACATTATTATTTTAAATCCCGTACTGTAAAATAGAGTATGTTTCATTCCCAGGAACAAAGTGCGGGAGGATAGCAAGGGGCTGCCTTTCTACAGGTACAGCGGAGAGGTGCCCCATACCCAATAAAAAACCCTCACAGCAGCATCTCGGCAAGCAAACACATCCGGCACAAATTTCTAAAACTGCGTATGAAAGTAACAACAAATACCCACTGTGTTATTAGTGCTACTGCTTACAAGTAAAAGGTTATATTTAAAATCAACATTTAAGCCGTTTAAGATTATTTATATATATATTTTTTATTTCCACAATAATTCGATTCACAATAAGCGCATTCAGAAACGTAAGTAAAATAGAACTCACAAAAAAAATGGGATTTCTTATTGCTTTAATCATTGTTATACTCGCTTAAAGGCAAACTCAAAATTGATGCATGTTACACACCGAGCGAGTAATACAAATATTTTCCCGCATACTAATAAAAAGTAGCACAAGTACAAACTAAAAAGGGAAATACAGTAAACATAGTGTACCTAATAAAAAAGACGCACGGTGCCATCATCTTCCAGCCAGCACACGTTTTAATAGCTTTATGAAAAACTTTACACGCGTAAACATTACTCCGCAATCAGAAAAGCACCGTTTGTTTCACCATACAAAAAAGAGAAAGGGGTTTATCAATGGGTTATCTCGTGTAAACTACAGCGAGTGCGGCGAAATGCCATTTATCTGGAAGTTTACCTGTGGTACTGAGCCTGCAGAAACTGGAACTCCTCTTTAATACGGTCGCAGGACTCCGATATGGTAAATTTGAAAGGCTGGGCAGGTTGGTGAGGAGCCTGTAATGAAAGTGGAACAGATTAAAATGGGTAGTAAGTGAGAAATATTAAGGAAAAGCATGAAGGAGACAGCAGTTTGCATCGAGGGAGTCTTACAGCGCGCCGCTGTAATGTAGACCTAACCATCTCGGCTCTCAGACAGCAGACACGAAAACGTTTTAGTCCGCAAACCACAAACCAAAGGGAGTCATCGCATCAGTAACTCCTTAACATAATCGCGTCTGAGAGACCAACCTTCACGGCCACAATAGGGCAGGCTGTGACCCGCCTTGTCATTCGGATACTCACACTTAATTATGCATCCTATCATCACTGGGGGGGGTGGAAACACACACGCACGCACGATCACACATACACACACACACACACACACACACACACACACACAACGGGGCAGCTATGAAAAAGCACATACATATAGGGAGAGAGAGAGGTTGTGCTAATGGCTTTTCGCCGTGAGTGTGACAGGACTGACGCCGATGCACACCGGACGCGCGCGGGGCTGTCCCCTCGTCGCTCCTCTCCCCGGCCGCCCGCACGCGAAGGGACACCCCGCTTTGTTTTCGCTGCACTTACCGGATGCCGTGCCTGCGGGTACATCTTGCTCAGATCTCGAATCATCAAAATATCTTTTTTATTTCCACAACAATACGCGAAAAAGAAAGAGAGATGAGGGGGGAGCAGGGCGATCACATGCGCCGTGTGCGCATAAATTTCACGGCTTTAGCTCGCTGACACCGGGCTCTCTCGCTTTAGCTAGCTGGCTAAGTGCGATCTGCCCTACACTTTCCGAGGCAGCACGCTATATCCTACGGCGGTGTCTCTTCGCGAAGGACGGCGCGACATTCTTCCGCTGAAATGTCTCACGGACGGCGCATTACATTTCTGTAAGAAGCCAAAGTTTTCCAGCAGCGATTCACACAGTCGACAGTGTCCTAGCGAGCGCCCCTATTAGCTACCGTGCGGCAGTGTTGCTACGCTGCAATTGATCTGGGTAGTAAAAAAAAAATCTTGTGGGATTCCAACCCCCTTAAAAATTCTTTGTCGGTCTTAAAAAGTAATCCTTATGTCCTGCTGAATGTTCTTCCGTTTCTTTGTCACTATTTATAATATATATGCATGAATTTTCATTATTCCGCGTGCTTCATTATTTGCTTTATAATAAGCCAGTCTTCTTGTCAGTCGAACTCTATTTTAGAAAGGTATAGCTACATTGTTGGTGTCCATTTTGCATATTCTGAGACAGCAAAGCTCGATCCCATGGAATTGAGAGGTAGCGTCCGCTGAGCACTCCCGTTCCAGCTCTAAGAACAAGGCTGTTGTATGACTTCTTTGACCAAATTTAGAAGCAGCCAGTCATTAAAATGATATTATATATTCATAACAAACAGCGAGGGCCACGTTGGTTTCTGGGTAATGTAGTCACGACAGACAGAGCATAGTCTGGTTTTCAAAGAAACACCATCCCTTTAATAACTACAATTTCCTTGTGTCCCTGCGCAGTTCAGAGGCTAGGCAATAGACTTCAAGGAGGAGCAAGGATTAAAGAAAACCAATCATTTTACAGTACAATACAGAACATGCCCATTTTCATGCCAGTCACTTTCTCTTTAGCCAATCGAATGTGTGAGGAGGAGTTTGTCACTCGTGACCCACGTGGGGACATTACGTCCTGTCAAAAACTATCCAATGGCAGGCCGACATCGCGCTCCGCCCCCCTCAGAACGCCCCTTTTCATGACGCTCTCTGCAGTGAGCTGGAGAACAAGGGTAACATTTGTTCAGCTGTCAGTCAAAGTAACGTGGGTCACTTCACTTGCTGGAAGTGGAAACGACAAGTGAATCTCTCCCATTTTGTTTCGACTGTCCTTTGCCGACTACTAACACCGTTCGGAATTCTTGTTAATTAGTGTTGAATGTCCTCTTAAAGGGACAACAACCTTTTATCTGTATCAAAAACACCAGTCGAGAACCTCCACATCTTTACACAGCTATAACGTGTATGCGCTCTCTTATACATTGTTTCGTCTTTTTTTTCGTTTTTGTCAGATAGAAACCTAACTAAAACAAGAATCTATAATAAATACATGAAGCGTTCCGACACTGTAATGCAGACTTAACCTTTGGTAGGAACGTAATGTAAGCACGATATAAATGTCTTCATAATCATTCTATGCTGATCGGCTTGCGTGGTTTTAGTTTCGGAGGACGTAATTTATTCGGATATTTGAATCATATTAAGTGATAATTAAAACCGTAATTTAACTACAAAACTACTTGCTTACATGCGGTTATTTTCGCCTCTGTGTATACGTTAATTGTTGCGAGGTATATTTAAATTATTTATTTCGAAAGCTAATGCGCAAATTATTTCAATCACTCATGCGCGTAAATATCAGCGTGGCCCCGCCCCCGCGAACGGCGCTATTAATTTTACTGCTCTCACCACCCACGAGCAGCTCGCCAATTAAAGGTTTAGCTCTGACGTGCACTATTTTCTTTCTCTTTTGCCGTGCTTGTCATCTTCGCACATTTCCATCCCTCTTTCCACGCTAACAACAACAATGACAGTGTTTACCCCCCTCTTGCAGAATACTGAAAATAAACAATCAGCCGAAATGATGTCCTGACCGTTCCCCCACCCACCCACCGCAGATCGTCGCTGGCGCTATTCGTTCACTGTAGAATAATGTATTAGTTTAACTCCCTCCCGTTTTCAGCACCTTCATCGCGTCTGAATGATTTCCAGCTTCTGGCCAAAGGGTGTGTGTGTGTGTGTGTGTGTGTGTGTGGTGGTGTGGGGTGGGGTGGGGTGGGGGGGACCACTGCAGTTACGGCCCCACATTCCACCTACGAGAGATGGAAGTAATTGAAAAAATAATGACACTTCCTTATTGGAAATGTATCCGAGTAAACTTCGCCAGTCCCCCATGAAAAATTTGTATCAATTTAAATGTATATTTGTGGCTGCCTCTATTTGGGTAGTGGTAACTGCTCCTTTGAAAAAAAAATACATTTTGCCTTGTAGCAAGACAGGCTTACCAGCATAATTGGGCAATGCATTTGTTGTGCTACCTGTAACATTTAGGCTCCCATCAGATTTTTCGGTAGAATGATTCTTTTTTCCCCTTTTCGGTGAAATTGGCTTTTTGACATATTTTACATAATTCCTGTTTATTCTGTCATTGAATACAATATACTGTGTGCTATTTTAAGACATGGAATAGACAAACATTGCGATATGAATACAGCCCACAAATAATGTCATGGCAAAATACACCAGTTTATCCAAATACAGCCCAAACAGGACCTGCAAAACTCAGTCACAAGGTAGGTGGTTAAAACAGGGAGATATTTCTACTGCTTTTAGTAAAATGACAAAGATCTGCCATCATTATGTACAAAGTCCTATATTATTATTATTATTATTATTATTACGGCATTCAGAAATAGCTTAGATACCATGCATTTCTAGCCACAGTTTTTAATGCTTGACCTATGTGTCAGCAATGTGAAGCAGACCTGTCTAACCGCTACGCGTGTGTGGTGCGTGATGATGGCCAGTTGATTATGACACCATGTGACTGGGGCACCCTAGGTTCCGGTAGATTTCCATGAAGATGGACAGAGGTGAGTACTGGCCAACATACACAGGGTGCAGTGATCCTAAAGGGGTCCTGTGCCAAACATACAGTGAAGAGCACACCTGAATGTGTGTGTGTGTGTGTGTGTCGCTGAACACAGTGTACCCCATGTTACCCACAGTTATTATTTAAACATACCAAACATGTTATTCTGGTCAATATTAATATTAGCTCAACGAAAAACATTATCATTAGATCTGTACTTTGCAAAATGATGGAACAATAATAGACACATGTATTTACATCTATACCATTCTATGCTTCTTAAATATACCAAAATAATTTAAAATGTTGCTGTTAAATTATTACTATTAGCACATTAAAATTTAAAAGCACATTGATATACTACTCCAGTCTCCTTCTTCATCTTATTGTGGTTGTTAGTTTTATTATTATTGCTGTAGATGACATCGTAAGCCAAGGCAGCTTACAATACCTGTGTTACAGTAAGTCATATGAATTTTAGAGGCATGTAATTTAGACTCATAGTTCGTGATCCGAACCACTTGTGTCAGCTGTCACAAGATCCCAGCATCTGTAAACTAAAGAGACTCTCCGATCCCAGACATAATTTTGCAGCGGTCCCGTAAGACGAGACTCCAGTGGTGCTTCGGTGAAAAATATCCTGCAAGAAAAAAATAAAATGGGTGGGTGGGGGTGAGATTCTCCCGTGTCTCTGTTTTGTTTTGATGTTGTGTGACAGGAGGTCAGGGTCTAATTGTGCTCTAGTCTTGCTCCCCATCGGTTCAGGCCTCCCAACATGGCTGGACAGTAGATCAGGTTAACTGGGTGTCTGTATTAGACACCCCAAGCTGAGCCTGTGTGGTCCTGCTCCAGTCCTGCCTTAGAAGGTGTAAACCATTAAACGGGCTTTAAACAATCAGCATTCCCTCCTTGGGGCGCTGAAGGCGGGCCACTAAGTAGCAATTACCAAGTGCTGTGGAAGGATTGGGTTGGGGGGCGGGGGGGCGGGGGGGCAGGTAAATAAACCTCTTTGCTGAGGAGCAGCTAAAAATACATCCTGTCATAAGGGGCCACCAACCAAACGGGGGGGGGGGCTTGGTTATAGCGCTCCTGTGAAACTGGATCCGGGACCAACAGCCGGGAACTTCCCACAGTCCCAGTCATGTCAGCGTGGGGCCTGTTCAAATAAACCATTTGGATCGCGGCCAAACATCAGAGGGGGGAAAAAAAACATTGATAAGGTGGCTTACCGAACCAGCCCTGGACCGATCCATCAAGCCCCCCTCCCCCTGGTAATGTTTGATTTACCTTTGGGAGGAAAGCTCTTTGGGATCCCTCCTGCACACTTACAAACAAAGTGTGCTTCTCCTCACCGACGGCCTTTCCTTCTCACCCCATCGTGTGTTTACGGCGGCCGGCTCCTCGGTCATTGTACCACACGGGCAACTGTCTCCTTTCTGTGACCGTTTTGTACCGCGACGCTTTCAAGGTTTGCCCCCGGATCCCATTACTCAGAAATACGATAAGCTAATTGGAGGTGGTCAGGGCCCTATCCATTTAGCTATAGGCTCAGAGAGGATTAGGTTCCCATGTTATGTGGAGGGGGAAAAAGAAAAAAACAACACATATCGATGGTGTTTCACTCCTCTCTTAAGGGAAAAGGAGAGAGCGAGGGATGAGAGAGAAGGAGTATGAAATGGAGTCTCATTCCAGTTTAAAAAGAAGGTAATTTTTCTTCTATTGATGACTGAAATCAGATCGTAACATTCTTATACTTTACACCTTTCATTGTCATGTCTTATGGCCATTGTTATGCTGCTAATAACCGGAGACCTACATCACCTTGTTAAAAAATAATAACCTTACGGAAAAATCACTGTGCTATAATAACAAACAGGTTGTTGTTATTCTTGGGGGGGTGGAGGTGGGTTTGGAAGCCGAGAGGAAGAGTGGGTGCTTAGCCCATCTGTACAGCATTAACCCAGCAACCTTGGCCTTTGCTTTCCTACTCCACCCCCCCGGAGCTGAAAGCAGAGCGAGCGGCTGGGGATGCGAGTGGCTGGGGCTGCGGCCGGCGGCAAGCGTCTGCGGTTTTGCTGGGGGTGCGGGCAGCAAGCCAGCGGCCTGACACACTGCAGGAGAGGCTTTTCGTAAAAAGGCCTCTGGACTCTCCACTGCTTTCTCTCTCTCCCTCTCTCGCTCCCTTTTTCCTGTATGCCATTTCCTTTATGTCTCACGCTTTCTCTCTCTCTTTGTGTCTGGGCCAACCTCCCCCAATCACACGCTGCTCCCAGTATGGGTCATCTCCAGGCCTGCCCCCCCCTTCCTGACTAACGACTGCAGAATAGATTGTGTCTGTCAGGAGGGATCTCCTCTACCCATGATCACAGGTCTAGTTACGCTCTGTAAACACCATTTCCGGTTCAGTAGTTGTCACAAACACTATCTTTGGGTCAGGGGAATGTTTGGTTTCCTCTCCACGTCTAGACAAAGCCACACAGCTCAGCTGAGAGACCTCATCCGATCTGGCCGACAAGCAGCCCCCTCTACTGTCGTCTGGCAGAACTGCAGGTGTCCCTCTGCAAGCCTGGTTAATTAAAGCCACAGTCTATATAAATTAATTGGTGCTTAATTAACGTTTAAGCCTTAGCTGAAGGCTAAGTATCAGAAAGGCCCTAGAGCCAAGAGACGTTCCTGCGGCGACCTCGGATCGGGTACATAACCTGGGAGAAGGGCGATGGCAGCAG